CGAAACATCTAATCATAATCCATTCTCAAGTTCATTCTGTTATATACAAACTTGATTATGAGCACATCATACATTTTCCATAAAATGTTCCTCTGGGTTTAATAATACTCCAAAACGGACCGATCATCCAGACTGCCAGAATTACCTTCTACCTCACATGTGCTTTTTTCCTCTGGGTGTGGGTTGCTTGTGGATGTTCCCTTCTCGCTTGTGTTCTCATAATATACCATGTGTTATATACCATGTTTTATTTTTAGGGATGCACCGATCCGATACTGCAATTTTCTGCCGGATCGGGTATCGGTTAGACGAGACCGATCCAAATCCGATATTCAGCATATACTATTCTGTATTATTGTTAAGCCCCAAGAAAGGCACAAAAACATTATAAAGAACCATAAAGTTTTCATGCACTACATTCCAAGTGTTCTGAAGCCGTTCCATAGTTTAATGTGAGGTACAGATGAATAAAGTCGTTAAATACAAGTTTACACGTAAACTCTTCTCTCCGCTGCGGCTGTCTGTCATCCTCCATTCTGCATTCAATCTGTGCGTCGCGTTCAGTTACGACAGTCAAGACGATGAAACTCTCTCCAAGATGATTCAATGTTCCTGTTATTATACTTGATATGTATTGTCTATTTTTTCATTTGTTATTTTTCTGTATAGTGAAGTTGTCTATATGTAGTAGATTGTATTTAACACACACAAACCAGTGATGATCTGGTCAACACACAGAGGTATAGAAATTCTACATTGATTTAAAAAAAAAATAAATAAAAAATACTGTGCTAGTATCGGATCGGTATCGGCCGATACTCAGAATTTTTGTGATTGGATCGGTTCTGAAATAATGGTATCGGTGCATCCCTATTTATTTTCCATTTGTGAGATCCTTTGCCCCATGCATGTGAAAGTTTCTCTTTCCCCCCATAGGCCCCCTTGTTTTCCCTGGTCCCCTTTTAATGAACCAGCGTGAGCAGGTGCTAGCCAGACTAAGACCCCTTCAGGCCTTTAAGCTAATGCAGGAGAAACTCAAAGGTACTGCGGTCTTCACTACAGACTCCACCTGGAGCCCCATGATGCCCCTCTCTCTCCCTTCCTTCGACAAACTCTACTCTACCGCCTCTTCCAGCTTTCTCTGGACACAGTTACCTCTCTCTCTGTCTGCGTCTCTTCCTCTGTCTCTCTGGTGAAAGAATAAAGAACTTACTTTATTTGACTACCTCTCTTCTGTTCTAACATAATAGTCAGTTGGCCATATGTTTATGCTGTGTTCATTGCTTTGTTGAACAATTAGATCCTGCTGTCTGTTGAAAATGATCACTATTAAATAAATCACGGCTCTTTTTTTCTCAACTGGAGTGGGACTAGAGAATTGTCACGCTGTGTTAACTGTTATTGGGAAATCAGTGACTGAATGTGGTGTTTTTGCTTAAAATAGCAAATTGCATCTCATTTTGTGTCAAGTTTAGTTTTCACAAGGGCTTAAAATAAATCCTAGTGCATGGCCAATATAAATAGAACAGTGTGCCTTGTAGTTATTTTAAGAAACATTGAAATAATACCCATGCTGTATCTCCATCTGAATATTTGGCAAATGCAGCCAATCCAGTATCTAGGTCAATATCAGAGATTTTTTTTATCAAAGGAATAGTTCACCTAAAAAAATTTCATTATTTTCTCACATTCATGTTGTTCCAAACCCATTTGCTGTTATTGTACAACAGCAGTTCATAGTACGACTGTTAAGATATCAGATTTTCTCTTCTCTGTTGTTGCCAAAAGTATTGACATGAACAATGTTATCATGATATCTTCATACATTTTGGGAAGAAAATATAAATGATTATGCTATCAGTCAATTCATCTTCAACTTCATTTTATGCTTTCTCTTTTATATCTAATGAATCACACTGTAAACACAAGTGTAGTGTGCAAAAATAACTTACTGTTGATCAGTCTAACACCCGAATCCGAAAACTCGCCGACTGGAAAGCGAACTTTGAGTGTCTTGTCATCGCCAGCATGGTTTTTTGTGGCAGTAGTAGCTTCACGCTACGTCACCGTTGTCTTCTTTTTTCCGCTTCATGACAAGTGGAGACCAGTGTTATGGAGCAATATCGCCAACACAACCATGATGTAGTGTGAACCAGTTACCAGAACTGGATTATTTAATGTATTAATAATATGTGTCGAATTAACAAGATATCAGTATTTAATTTTTTACACAATCACAATTATTGTCCATACTGGTATATTGTGACACCCCTAGTTCTTAGTAACTATCAAGCTCCAAAAATGACAAAAAAGACTTTTATTTTCCATCCTCTCCCATCATAGCTGTTGAATATCATAATCCATTCAGTATAATTCCCATAATGTCACAAACAGTTATGACGCCTGTAAGTACCAGTGTGGGTTTTGAGTTTACGCAAATAAGATTTCAGAGCTTCGACGAAGGGGGATATTATCATTATAATTAACACTGAATATTATCAGTTGGGAGTAAATATTAGTGAATTATCAACGAATAACCACTAAAATAACAGCAAATAGGTTTTGGAATGACACAAAACAGAAATTCCATATTTGGGAATTTCTATTCCTATACCGTTTTTTTTTCTGTAATTAAACATTATTGTAAGGGCATTTTATATGTTTTTGAGGACGTGGTTTTCTTCATACCATATCAAAATACACAGTCCGTTAATGTGAAATATCATCTAACTGATAAAACGATAAAATGTCCCTAAACCCATCACTAGATACATTTCATAATGTTCTATCAAATCTTAATTATTATTTTACGTTTGTGTGGCATTTTTGTCACTTTTAGTGGCATTTTTGCTCTGAATCCTGAATTTGAAACCCTGGTTTAGATGTAACACTATGTTCTGTTCCATAAAATATATTATATGTGTATATTTTTGCATGCAGACATTCATTGGGACACAGATCTGCACTCGTGACACATTTCCTGATCTACACTATTTTAATCCGTGTGGATCGAAAGGAGCCCACTTTTGCTCTGTTCCCTCATTGGATTTGTGCCACAGATCAATGCCTAATCTCTTTTATTAACCCTTGATAGAGAGTGTTTTAAGGTTGTATACAATCACAACTTCCCCCTCAGTTTATCTTCTCTGCTTTGCTCTGTTCTGCCTCTGTCCACGCATGCCAATATTTCATTTGTGCTCTGTTTTTCTCCTTTCCTCTGAGGCACCAGATCGTTTCTCTTCCCAGGTCGTTAACAGCCCCCGGCTTCACTGGCTCCATCTCATCTCTCACTGTCCTCGTCTGCCCTTTACCGTCCGTCCAACAGGCTCACGCTCTGTTCTGTGTTACAGATGGCAGCAGTGAACGCGGGGACAAAGATGCCAGTAAGATCACTACATATCCTCCCGGGGCCGTACACTTCGACTGTGAGCTGCGAGCCGTGCAGGTCAGCTGCGGTTTCCATCACTCCGGTGAGTGAAGATCACATCTGACCTTGATAATGTGACAGGAGGCCATTGTTCATTTTCCCCATCATTACTTTGAGTCAATATTTGATTTTCCTGTTTTTTGATATGCCAAGTCTGAATTGAAGTCATATGTCCATTTGTAATGGTAAACCTGTTTTTTTGGCAGTGGTGTTAATGGAGAATGGAGATGTTTACACCTTCGGTTATGGACAGCATGGACAACTTGGGCATGGAGATGTTAATTCTAGGTAATGAGGGTTTAATGAGGGGCTTAATATATTTTAATTGTATTATTTTTTGTATTTAAGTAATTTAATTGTTAATTTGATGTATTTTTGTATTTTATTAATATAATTATTTATTGTAAAATTTCTACATTTCTAAATATATATTTATTTTAAATAATTTATTTAACATTTAGATATTTATTTTAGTATTGTCATTTATTTTAATGATTAATTGTTTTATTTTGTATTTATATATGTATATATTTTATTTATATAACTATTTTAAATATTTTATATTTATTTGTAAAAATTATTAATTGATTTTAAGTGTATTTTAGTTATTTATTTGAATTGAATTTATTACTTGTTTAATAGTTTAATTGGTTTTTTAATTGTTTATTTATTTACTATATTTTAATAGAATTTATTTTATGTATTTATATACATTTATGTATTTTATTTATTTTATATTGAATATAAATAATTATTCATTAATTCATTTTAAATGATTATTTGATTTGAAAGTTATTTATTTTAATTGTTTATTTTTATTTATGTGCCATTTTATATTAATTAATTAATTAAAATATTGAATGTTCTAAAATTAATATTGATAGCAAACAAACTTCAACAAAATAAAAAAAATCAGTAAAATAAACTTAAAAAAAAAAAAACATGGCTCCTTTGATTTTTATCCAAACACACAGGGGGTCTCCCACTCTGGTGCAAGCTCTGCCCGGCCCCAGTACTCAGGTGACGGCAGGCAGTAACCACACTGCAGTGCTTCTCATGGATGGACAGGTCTTTACGTTCGGGAGTTTCTCTGTAAGTTATCTTTTTCCTCCTGAAGCAGAACTTGTTCTCTCTATCCATCCATTTTTGGCCTGATTGTCTGTTGGTTAAGAACCTGAAGATATATCTCATGTTGTCTCAACAGAAAGGGCAGTTAGGACGGCCCATCCTAGACATGCCCTACTGGAACGCCAAGCCCTCTCCGATGCCCAACATTGGCGCCAAGTACGGCCGAAAAGCCACATGGATCGGGGCCAGCGGTGATCAAACCTTCCTTAGAATCGACGAGGCGCTAATCAACTCCCACATCCTGGCCACCTCCGAGATTTTCGCCAGCAAGCACATCATCGGTACGCTCTCTTGTTTGACTCACTGGTGGGGTTTAAAAGGCCTATGCGTTGTGTCTCCCGTTAAAGCCTTTGACTGTTTCCTCCCATTCTGGTCTCTCTAGGTTTGGTTCCAACATCGGTATCTGAGCCTCCTCCCTTCAAATGTCTACTGATCAACAAACTGGACGGGAGCTGCCGCACCTTCAATGACTCAGAGCAGGAGGATCTCCAGGGTTTCGGCCTCTGTTTGGACCCCGTCTATGATGTCATCTGGAGGTGAGGCACATCTGGAGTCAGCTGACTCATAATAAATGCCATTACGATCATGTCACCTAAAAAAACACTGTACACAGTTTCTCAGGGTTTCAGTGGACGAAAAATCATAATGAATAAATATTGGTAAAAAATGAATGACGTGCTGCATTAACTCTTGTCCCAAGCTATATCTTCTCACTTCAAGCCGTCTCGCTGTTCTTCCAGGTTTCTGCCTTCCACACGTGAGATGTGCTGCTATAACGCGGTGATAGCAGACGCCCGTGTGCCCACTGCCTCGGACATCCAGGCCCTCTGCAGCATCCTGAGTCCTGAGCTGGCTCTGCCCTCGGGCTCCCACACCACCACCACCCGTTCCAACGGAGCGCTGCACATCCTGGGTACGACAACAGCATGTCACTGCCGCTCACTCTACCTCAGCTTTACTGCTGTTTAATGTGCAGTTCACAGCACTCTCTTGTCAAGCAGGATCTCAAAACCTGTCAGGAATGAAGTCACATGATGGCAGAACATTCAAAGCTTGCTAGCTGTTTCTGATTGAGATCAGCTGGGCAGAGAGGAAATGGAGCTGGTTGACTGGCATTGTCTAAGAAAGAGGACAGTCTTTGAGCTTTGTGTCTGTCAGATCAAATTTTCCTTTATCTTTTGAGAATGAGAGATCATTTTACTGTGAAAACACACTGTAACTTTCAGAACTTCTTCTCCAGTTAAAAAAGAGAGTTTATTAAAACTGACAAAGCTGCAAAAACAGCTCCTTCTCATTTTTGTAGCTTACTGAGAGATTAATATACTTGAGCATGTGATAACCTACATTTACACGTCAGCCATGCCTGTTAACTATTCAGAAACCTGGCTCATCCAGTCATGGTGAAAGTAATTCAGAAGTAGTAGGATAGATGCTATTATTCTAATACTGAACAGAAAAGCAATTGAAAAGAGTAAAATCAGGCAAACTATTACTTTTTCGGACTGTGTGTAGCACCTAATGCTCTGCAGATTCTTCAGTCAGTCTGCAGATTTTGCTCAGTTGAAGTTGCCAGATCACAGAAAACCATGTAGTCTTTTCTTTTTAGCCTCAGACTATGACTCTATCCAGTCAGAGATCAAATGTTTGATATCTTGAGCTGATTTTAGAGCACATACTGTTTTGATGTGTCATACATCTTCTACCAACAAGGTCTGTTCAGATCTGTTCAGATCTTAAAAGTTCTGTGGTGTATTCCAGCCCATAACCGTTACAAATGAGTGGCTTAAGTTTAAATTATTATAATGAGCTTAATTATTATAATTAATAAATTATTTTAAATTATTATAATATTTAATTATTCTGATTATAATACGTTTTTAATTATTTTAATTATAATGAGCAGTGATAATGATCTTTTATTGGCAGTGATGTGAAGTTTATTTTCAACAAGATCTTACTTTGTAAAAAGGCTATTATTGGCGGATTGAGCAGTTAAAAAAACATATTATACTTATAAACTATAGAACAACACAAACTGTCGTTTGTGGAGGCAAAATAGCAATAGATTTGAACTTTAACCGTTTAATTCTAAAGGTAATAGCGGAAGTGGAAAATGATCAGAATAAACTATATTATGACTAAAATGTTTTGATGCAAAAAACTTAAATGAACATTTATAAGTGGACCTCAGAGGGAAAAAAAAAATTAATAAAAAAACCCTCTCATTGGAGTCTTAAGTTGAAGTGTGTGAGTTCTTCTGTTTGGCTGTGTGCGCAGGTTGTCTGGACACACTGGCTGTGATGCAGGAGCTGAAGATGGGTGTGGCCAGTGCTGAGGAAGAGACTCAGGCTGTGATGAAGGTCTACTCTAAAGAGGACTACAGCGTGGTCAACCGCTTCGAGAGTGAGTTCATGAAAAATCATACAGCTGTTACATCACCAAATACTGTTTTAGACTGTTAAGGCACATTCACATATAGCAACTTCCAGCAACATGAGCGATACATCCAGTATGTGATCATCAGATATTCAAAAGTTATGTGAATCGGTAACGTCAGGATGTCTAGTATTAGAACATCCATTAAGATCGAAAATAGAACCACTCGGCAACCTTCAGCAATAAAAGTTTGCTAATTTTAGTACAGGTTGCATTTGATTGATGTGTTGTTTTTTGCTCAATGTTTTCTCTAGGTCACGGAGGAGGCTGGGGTTACTCTGCCCACTCAGTGGAGGCCGTTCGCTTCTGCGCCGATGCTGACATCTTGTTAGGGGGTTTGGGTCTTTTTGGTGGCCGAGGGGAGTACACTGCAAAAATCAAGGTCAGGTGCTATCTAATTATCTTCTTAGGTTTGACCCTCAGCCCACTTCATTTTCACGAGTTTGATGATTTTTGGTTTGTGATTGAGAGCTGTGATTTTGTTTGCAGCTGTTTGAGCTGGGGCCAGATGGAGGAGACCATGAGACTGATGGAGACCTGCTGGCCGAGACAGATGTTCTGGCATATGACTGTGCTGCTCGGTATGGATATGCACATCAATTGAGTGCTGCTACATAATTGCTATGATTATGTGTATGTACATATATATACACTGCCATTCAAAAGTTTGGGATCAGTAAGACTTGTAATGTTTTCCTAGCTGAATAAAAGTTTTAATTTCTTTCAAAAAAAAGAAAGAATACAAATTTACTGACCCCAAACTTTTGAACGCATCACAGGAATAAATTAGATTTGAATGTATATTAACATAGAAAAATTTTATTTTACATCATAATAATATTTCATTATATTACATTTTTTCCCTGTATTTTAAAACAATAAAAATTGTTCTGATCCCAAACTTTTGACCAGCATTGAATATGCCAGCAAGTCTATATTTTATATATATATTGAATTTGCTTTTATTTTTTGTTCTAGTTTATTTTTTCATTTTCGTTTACGTTTTAGTATTTTTGCAATGTGCTTTTGTCATTGTTATTAGTTTTTTTATTTTAATTTAAAATGGGCAAAGATTTTAGTAGTATTTATATACTATTGTAATTTTCATAGCTATAATTTTTGTATATTTAATATTTATAGTGCCTTTGAGATGCATAATAAATACTGTTAATTAGGCTTGCTGCGATAGTCGGTGTTGACCCGTAACACCGGTTACGCCACCGCGGCACCGCCCCCACAGTCTTTTTGATTTTTTAATAATAATAATAATAATCATTTAGTTCAGTTGGAGAACAGACACTACAATTAAAAACTGAACGCGGCTGCTCAATGCAGCGTGCCGAATGACAGTCGCATCACAGATCAGCCACACTGTTGCTATGAATACCCCGACATTGCCGAAGGCTGCAAGCTGTTGTGTGCACTGACACAATCTGCTCCGTTTGGCAGCTTCACTGAGTCACATAAAGGTTAGCAGAAGATTTAAAACACTCTGTGACTGATAACACTCTTCAATTATAAACTACAAGCATATGCAACAATTAAAACTGAAGTGTCTGCACGCTAACGTCACTAAATAAAACTGCAAAAATAATGACAAACAGATCAAACTCACATGACCGGTTGCGCCAATGTCTACGTTTTGGATTGGAAAATCAAGACTTGTGAAGCATTGGTGGATCATATTGATATTTAATGTGATTCTCTACATCTGTGTTTCCTCTATTAGGACACCTGTGAGAACTTGAGGAGAACTGACTTCATATATTGGTTAAAAATCACCAAAACACCAGCTGATTAAAAGACTGAGCACACATGGCTCATAAAGACTGCTGTGGTTATTTGTGATCTTTTGTTTTGTGTGTGCAGGGAGAAGTACGCCATGATGTTCGACGAGCCTGTGCTGCTGCAGTTGGGCTGGTGGTATGTGGCGTGGGCTCGTGTGTCTGGACCCAGCAGTGACTGCGGCTCCCACGGCCAGGCCACCATCACTACTGATGACGGGTACAAACACACGTATTGCTGTGATTGTGTGATCATTATAGCATGGTAATTCTGTAAAGACGATAATAATCATAGTAAACTCTCTCCTGCAGAGTGGTCTTTCAGTTCAAGAGCTCAAAGAAATCAAACAATGGTACTGATGTGAATGCTGGACAAATACCTCAGCTGCTGTACAGGTACACGAGGAATTTTAGTTCTGTACTGGCTCCTTTGGTGTATCAGGTGTATTCTTTCTCTCACATGCCCGTTTCGTTCTGATTTTCCAGGTTGCCCTCTAATGATGGTAACGCATCCAAAGGAAAGCAGCAGACCAGTGAGCCTGTGCACATCCTAAAGCGTTCTTTCGCCAGGACCGTGTCTGTGGTATGTGCACGAAAACATACTGACTGCTCATGGGCCAATAATGTGAAGCTTAATTTAGTTTTTTACATTTTATTTTCAGATCTAATAATTTCCTCATATACAATGCCATTTCTATGAAAATGTAGGGTACGGAGAATGCTTACTTAAAATATTTCTTTTACTTGTTACACCACAAGTTACTGAATCCAAGTTTTGCTGAAAATTGTGTAAATGTTTTTTGAAAATCTATAAAACTGACAAATATAAGATTTCTAAGAACTAGGTGAATGGATTAAAATTATTGTTTGCTATTTTGTGTCTAGGTGGTGTAACAGTACGGTGATTTTAATATTAAAAAAAGTTTAAAAGGCTGCAATTCTTGAATTGTTTTAAAACAAGCAGTGAAGCAGTTTTGTATTTTTTTTTTTATTTCTTTTTTTTTATATATATATAAAAAAAAGATTTTGCCAAATCAACTTACATAATATATTGACATTATCTACATAATATATCAACCAACTTAATGCTTACATTTTGACAGTTTGATATTTTTTGACATGGTTGGGTTATTAAAGAAAACAAGAAAACATCAAAATATACGCAATTCAAAAATTCATAATATTTGTGAAAATTATTTTTGGGCTTAGAAAATATATTTAAAAAATATATTGAAAATGAATCAAATTTATACACTCACATGTATTCAGTGTGTTCAGAAAATGTTTATGTGATGTTACGTTTTATGTGACGGTTACACCATTTGAAGTGATATAATCCAAATTTGTTTGGATGTATTTTTATTTATTTTTTTTATGTATGAAACTGACATAAATATACAATTACTTGTCACACGTTAGATATTAGATATTTAGATATCTCCTCTAGTAACCTTGTTTGTCATTGACCCATAAATGTGCTCGTGCTGATATTTTGACCTGGTATTTCCTGAAAAGGATATGTTAGCAACACTAGTTAGAATTTCCATATAATTTCCTTATGCCCTGTAAAAAATAGAAAGAAAAAAAAATTGGCAAGCAACAGATGTACAGCAGCCAATTCTGAAGGGTTTATACTTCAGTGTATTTTATTGCTTGTTATTCTTTAAGGAAATCCCTTGACTGTTGGCACTTTTTTTCTATGCGGCCTATCCGCTTTGTGCAGTCAAACGAACAAACCAAGTTAATAATAGGTCAGCTCCTTGGTTAATTTCCCAGTGGTGTGTTTGTTCTTGACTCAGGACTGTTTTGAGTCTCTGCTGAGTATCCTGCACTGGAGCTGGACCACGCTGGTGTTGGGGGTGGAGGAACTGAGGGGCCTGAAGGGTTTCCAGTTCACAGCCACCCTTCTGGACCTGGAGCGTCTGCGGTTTGTGGGGACTTGCTGCCTGCGACTGTTACGCGTCTACATCTGCGAAATCTTCCCCATTTCTGGTATTATATGCCATTTCTGCTCATAATGTTAAAGGGTTAGTTCACCCAAAAATGAAAATTAGCCCACAAATTACTCGCCCTCAAGTCATCCTATGTGTATATGCGTCCCATTAGCTGTTTGGAAATAGCACGGTTTTTGTAGGGTATATCTCATATGCATATTATTTTTGCTGAAATCTTGCACTCAAGACAGGCCACTTTCACTTATTCTGTTACTCCAGCAGCTGTGTAAGTAAAGCTAACAACTGAAAATTGACTGAAAAACCAGCTAGAGGGATGCCGACCTAAGTCACATTGATTTTGAGCACTGCTGTCACTCTCTTGACACTGTACTACTAGACCTTGTCACCAGGACTTATTGTTATTCACTGAATCTGTGCTGTCACTTCTTGCTGAGTCGGACTGTCAGTGTCACAAGTGGAGTTCCCTTGAGTTACAGATGTAGTCTATATTGATTGTCAGGGTCTAATGTCTCACTAGGCCTTTAAGCACATGTAATGAAGAGGAAGACAGCTTTGGACCAGTGTTAAAGATGCTAGTTTTTAAGGAATAGTTTCAAAAATTATTAACTAAAATCATTAAAAACATTTTCACTACTTGTGTGTGTGTGTGTGTATATATATATATATATATATATACACATTTCTCATTTTTGTGTAGTTTAAGTTAATAAAAACTATATATTTCAGAAAATAACAAACTAATACAAATGACAAAAAATAAAGTGAAAGCAGAAAATATTACAATAAAATCGAATTCAAAATATTAACTAAAACAATAATGGGTTTTCTGTGGGGTCTTAAATCGGTCTTAAATCAGAGCAGAAAGTCGTGGCATTGAATGCTGGATGCAATGCCAAAAAAAATCTTCCTGAGCATTTTTGTTTTCCACTGCAAATATCTAAACATTCTTAAATACAGACATTTACTTGAGATGCAAATGTAAAATGAAGTCAAAATAAAGTGAGTTTATGCTTAAAACAAGAACAGATATCCTAAAAAGAATGTGAGAACTTGTTTTCCCTTTGAATTAAGTTGATTTTTCTTAGCCCATTGGCACAAATGTATTCTTGTTTTAAGCATAAACACATAATTTTGATGAATTTTACAGAAAACAAGACTTCTTATGTCAGTTTTCTTGTCAAGTAAATAATCTTTCGACATTTGCACTGGAAAACAAGACAAAAATACTGAAAAACAACATCACTTTTTTACATTGTGATCAGAGGTTACAGGAAAAGTTATTTCTATATTCTAGTGGTTGGAGCAGAGCTATTTAAGCTTTAAGGATTTTGTTTTTAATTATTTAAAACATGGAGATCTGTTGGAAGCTGTATTTTCAAATGTTGAAGTGTTTCTAATACAACTCATTTTCTGCTCCCTAGATATTTACATTTAGAGAACATACTGATGTGTTCCCTTCAATATATTCCTTTACTTTCCCTTAAAAAGGTTTTTTAAAAAATCTTACATTTACCTTTATAAAACCTGCAAGAAGCACTGTAATCGTATATCAGTGATACTAAAACTGGTCACTAGGACCCACTGTCATCATACTGTCTGGTCCACGTTGCATCTGCATTGTGTCTTATACTGCCTGTTTGTGTCTCCTATCTAGCCAGTACCAAAGCGGTTGTGGAGGAGTCCAGCAAGCTGGCGGAGTGTGTAGGAAAGACACGTAGCCTTCTGAAGAAGATCCTGTCAGAGGGGATGGACAACTGCCTGACCAAGCTGGACAACGACCCGCAGGGATATCTGAGTCAACCCCTCACGCTGCTGGAGGCCGTGCTGCAAGAGTGCCACAACACCTTCACCGCCTGCTTCCACTCGTTCTACCCCACGCCGGCCCTGCAGTGGGCCTGCCTCTGCGACCTGCTCAACTGCCTGGACCAGGTAATCACCATCAGCAGAGATTCTAGAGTCACAGTTTAAAGCTGTTCTTAAATCCGCAAACGACTGATGTGGCCTCATTTTTGGATGAATCTCAATAAACCTGTCAAGAGTGTCTTAATTTCACAAAAATAAATAAATAAAATCAATTATATTTTGGATAAATCAAATTAAGGCCTATTATATGGCCATTATTGTTTTTCACTGAAATTATTTTCTTGACTGTTAAGTAAAAAAAAAAAAATCCCCAAAACTTCCCTTTATTCTAATGCAAAACCAAATAATGATTTATTCTTTTAAAACATAAAAAAATTATTGTTTGTTAATGTACTGCTTTTAATTATATGAAGCATTATAGTAATTTTATTACACTATTGGAAAACTATTGATAATCACTATTGAGAATAATGTGAAATACAGAATAACTATTTGGGGGGGAAATGCGCCTACTTGTAATAAAAATATGAAAAAAAAAATCAAAGAACTTGTATAATGCAAAATGTAATGTATTATTATTCTTTTTAAATATTTAGGATACATGTAGCATAACATATGCTTGTCATTTTTCTTTATATGGATATTATGCTAATTTGTAAATGTGTATTTGTAAAATTTTACTTATTTATACATTTCATTATTATTATTACAATGATTATTATTATTATATTGTAATTATTTTGTGTTGTAATGATTCATATTTTTATGAATATTTTATTTTGATTGAAAGGGTTAATATAAGGGGGAAAATGTACAACTTTGCAATTCAATTAAGCTTTTTGTTAATACTTTGGAAAAAGTGTTAAAAAATGAAATCAAATTACATTAAATATTTTTTTCTTAGATTTATTTGGGGGTGAAATGTGACTTGTTTTTTTTTACATTAACCTAAAGAGCCTCTTTAACAGAGATGCTTTTTCAGCTGAACCACTTTCAGTTCCCAGCTCACACTGCAAATGAGCCTCCAGACAGATTTAGAGCTGATGAATCGGAGCTCTAAAATATCTCCAATGGCACACTAAATCAAAGAGATTCTCTCAGAAAAAGAGGCACAGCCTCCATATATTTTCTTTTTCAAATTTCTGAGCGATACATTTATCACTCTACTGTTATCAGACACACAGTCCGGTTAGTTACAGCAAAGGCTCTACTGATCATAACATTGACCTTCATGTTGACCTCCAGGACATTCAGGAGGCGAACTTCCGCACGTCGAGCAGTCGTCTGCTGGCCGCGGTGATGTCAGCACTGTGTAACACGTCGGTCAAGCTGACCTCCGTCTTGCCCATCGCGTACGACGGGGAGGTGTTGCTGCGCTCCCTCGTCAAGCAGGTCAGCACTGAGAACGACTCTGCCCTCGCTCACCGCTTCCCCCTGCTGGTGGCACACATGGAGAAACTCAGCCACGTGAGTACTAACAGCCCTCATTTTTCAAATTAAAAGACGTTCATTCTGAGCGATACATTTATCACTCTACTGTTATCAGACACACAGTCCGGTTAGTTACAGCAAAGGCTTTACTGATCATAACATTGACCTTCATGTTGACCTCCAGGACATTCAAGAGGCGAACTTCCGCACGTCGAGCAGCCGTCTGCTGGCCGCGGTGATGTCAGCACTGTGTAACACGTCGGTCAAGCTGACCTCCGTCTTGCCCATCGCGTACGACGGGGAGGTGTTGCTGCGCTCCCTCGTCAAGCAGGTCAGCACTGAGAACGACTCTGCCCTCGCTCACCGCTTCCCCCTGCTGGTGGCACACATGGAGAAACTCAGCCACGTGAGTACTAACAGCCCTCATTTTTCAAATTAAAAGACGTTCATCTGCCTCAGCAGTTACAAAATTCTCTTTATCGTATTTTGATCAGACGGAAGAGAATCTCATGGGCATGACGACTTTCCGGGAGGTTCTGGAGAAGATGCTTGTCATTGTGGTGCTTCCTGTGAGGAAGAGTCTGAGGAAGGAGGTTGAGCTCTTTTCTCCTCATCTGGTGTCCAACACCTGTGGCCTGCTGGCCAGTATCGTCAGTGAGCTCACTGCCTCTGCTCTCGGCTCTGAGGTTAGAAGGACAAATCTCCCGCTTCCCTCTCATTCCTCTCATCCGCACACACACACACACACACACACACACTCTTCCTCGTCTCTTTGTCCGCAGAGCATTCGCCTGCTACTCTAATTGCATTACAGCCACTGGCTGGCCATAAATAGCTTTTAGATGATGGAGGAGAAATTATATCACTCCGTTTCATCAGATTCTCATGGACAGGATCCTACGCAGAATCTGTATCCATAGAGATCCACTGAAAGATCTGCACATCCAGAAAGTTCTAAACATCCCTGTCCCATGTCCTTTATTTAAAAGGTTTATATTAAAATAAAGTTTAAAGCATGCCCTTTATTTAAAAGTTTTATATTAAAATAAAGTTTAAAGTAAATATGATATAAACATATATAAAGAAATATATTTAAATATTTATAATATATTTACAATGTTAAAATATTAATATATGAATAATATTTTAAATACATGATTGTTATATTTAATATAAATATATTATTTTATTTAAATTAAATATAGTTTTAAATAAATTAAATATTAATAATATTTCTATTTAATATACTTATTTGTAATATATTTATAATACATTTCAATGTATTAATATTTATTTATATATTTGTATATTTAAGCTTCTCCCCTCAGACTATTTAGCCCTGAACCAGGACATTTCTGATTTATGTCAATTTATATAATTTCATTTCTGTCAATTTTATACATTATTTCTATGTTATTCTTATGGTCATTTTTATTGTATCTGCAGAGTTGAAAAACCTGCATGTCATACTATATGTGGTTGTGTGTGTGAGACAAAAAAAATTGAATTTCGTATGTAATATATTTTAGAGTATTTAAAGATATATTCAAAATATAAAAGCATTATAATATTTTTTAAAAAGTTAATAAATTAATATATAATAATATTTAATTAACACAATTTAATGTTGCTGTCAGTTTGATTTGATATTACTGTTTTGTAGAAAGACTGATCTTTAATTTAACCATTAATTTAATTTAATATTATTTAATTTAATTTAATTTTTTTATTATTTAATTTAATTACATTTAAAAAAAAAAAAATTTTTTAATTATTTTTAGTACCTGGACTTGATTACATATTTTGCAATCTGATCAATAAGACTGTACTACTCCAACTCCATTAAACATTTTACTGTTTAAATCCTTTGAGTTCTGTATATTTTTTTCTCAAAATCAGCGTAAAAATGGAAAGTGAGAAGGCTCCATGTAGGCCTGCTCATGCAGGATTGTTGTAGTGAGAAGCTGAGTCATGAGCAAAGGTGTGTCCTCCACAGCACCACAACAGTCTACTGCAGTCCGTCTCTCTCCGGCCGCTTGGGAAAAGGCCATTGGCCCGTTGCCATAGCAACTGGCCTGTCATGCTCTATTAGAGTATGTTATGGAGAGTGTTACAGCTGCTTTACTTCTCTGTAACAATGTCCATTTCTAAAGGTGGAATATAAATCATATGAGGGCTAGCAGAGTTTTGGCCGTTTGCAGTATCACAGGAAAAGCATGGTTTTAGGTGGTGGTTCTCATGGAGGCTCCTGTTCAATTAACAAAAACATCCTCCCTCAGTTATCTGGCCTGCTGCCACCTGCTGGGAAAATAAGTGACACTTCATCTTAAAAGGACAGTTCACCCTAAAATGACACCACTATCCCTTTAATGTGCTGCAATTCCAAAACAAATTTAAAATGTAAAATTGCATCTACACTAAATGTAAATTCTTGCCTACACTTTTGAAACTTCTTTACTGTTGTTGTGCAGCTGGACGGGCTGAACTCCCTGCACTCTGTGAAGGCCACCCCCAACCGCTTCACTAAGACCAGCCAAGGACGCAGCTGGAACACAGGCAACGGCTCCCCCGATGCCATCTGCTTCACGGTGGACAAGCCAGGGGTGGTGCTGGTGGGTTTCTGTGTGTACGGAGGAGGAGGCATCCATGAGCATGAGCTGGAGGTGCTCGCTGATGATGTAAGTCTTTTGCTGTATTCATCACCTGATGCCACATGGAAGCTAGACTTCTGACTGTTAAAGGAATAAACAACAATACTCAACCTCATGTTGTTTCATACCCATATCCTGTTATTTTTAACGTGGCACATAAAAGGAGGATTTTTCTTCACACAGATCCTTTCTGTACAACAAGAGTGTAATGTGCCCATGTCTGTCTAGATCCAATAAAGCACCAGAAAAGTATCATAAAAGTAGTCCATGTGACTAAATTACTGTATTTTCTGGAAAAAACATTGCATCTGAGGTTAATCAGTTGCATGAGCTACACTGGGTCTAAATTGCATTGTTGACAGAAAAAAAACACAGCTAAGTTACATCTGTGTATCAGTCGCATTTTATTAATACAACATTCAGAGATGTGAAATACTAGTAAATAAAACATTTACAAGCACTGTAAGCATGAATTTAAATTTAGCTGCTCTTACTCTGCAAACCGTCCCTTTAATTTAATGGTAATCGGAACAAGAATAAAAAAAATATAGTTATAAAATAAACAAATTATAGTGGCATTTGTTATAAACACCAAGCCTAAACAAACTGAAATAGAAACTGAAATATGGCGTGTGGGAAATGTGCTGTACAGAGAGAAATAAAAACTGAAACCAAAAGATACAACATTTCTGTACGGACACAGTCACCAGTCATTTCTAATTCGCGGTCAGTTGACTTCTTGCACTGACCAATATCTTCCAAAAATTAATGATTTTGAAAAAATAAAAATATAGCTGATCAACAGCGTTTTTCTACTTTACCACATTAAAGAATGAAAATACAGGGATTAAAAGTGAATGAGAAGAGGAAAATAAACTTTAATAAATGTTGAAATCCTGTACTATAAACAGAAATCCCCTGCAATAAAGACAGAGGATGAGAATTTGAGAAGAGAAGATGTTTAGTCCAGTACAACAACTCATGGAATATTGTTAAAATCGTGGGAAAAAGGTGTGTGGCTCGCCAAACAGAATACAAAACTGAACTTAATCCAAATTTGTGGGCCCACGTACCTCTCAGTTTGGCACATATCCAACTGTTTCCATATTAAGGACTCTTTGGTTGCTAAACTATTGTAAACATGACTTTGTTCTTCACTTCTGTCCCAAAAAACAGCAACCTTCACATGGGCAAAAATGTGTTTGGTGTACCACCACGATGGGGCACTGTCACAATGTCCAGCACAGCCCTACTGTACAACAAATAATTTAAACTGAGTTGTCTAACTTTGTTTGGTTGACTGCATTTTTGTTTGTTGATGAAAAGGCTGCGATGTCAAGTTAGCAGTGCTAGAACTGATATGATGTCTGTGTGTGCATATTTGTTCCAAACAATAAAAAAAAGTGACTTATATTCTGAAAAATATGGTACTTGGTGCCAAGTCTGTTTGAGACAAACTCATTTTTCCTTCACCATTCCTCAACCGTTCCTTCAAGTGTGAGCGTGTGAATGAGTTGTCCTGATGTCTTACCCTGTTGTTTTTCTCTGTGTTCCTGTTCTGTCCATCTGTCCCATTTTATCAGGCTCAGACGGAGCACCCTGGAGATTCCGCCCACTCCCACAGATGGACGTCTCTAGAACTGGTCAAAGGGACTTACAGCACTGACGACTCCCCAAGTGACATCGCTGAGATCCGTCTGGACAAAGCTGTTCCTCTGAAGGTGCTGCGAATTCTACACATGAATCACGCGAAGCATAAACTTCACTTCAGCGCAAACTCACTTTCACCCTGTTGATGTTGCAGGAGAATGTGAAATATGCTGTCCGCCTGCGGAACTATGGCAGCCGCACAGCCAATGGGGATGGAGGCATGACCACCGTCCAGTGCTCTGATGGAGTTGCCTTCACCTTCAGCACCTGCAGCCTGAGCAGCAATGGCACCAACCAGACCAGAGGCCAGATTCCTCAGGTTCTCTATTACAGGTCTGTACCGTGTTCCTTCCTCTGCCTTAAAAAAAAATCTTAATTATGAAGGATGTACATCTTATTGACTCCAATTGTTTGCTACAGGAGTGAATATGATGGCGACCTGCAGTCACAGCTGTTAAGCAAAGCCAATGAAGAGGACAAGAACTGCAGTCGTGCTCTTTCTGTAGTCAGTGTGGTGGTACGGGCGGCCAAAGACCTCCTCCACAGGGCCTTTGCTGTGGATGGTGAGGATCACTTCTTTAGGCTTCCAAAAAACATACCCATCTGCTATTGGTTGAAAATTAATCATTAAATTAAACTAATGTAAATGATCTCATTCTTATTACCAGAATGTAAATAAAATATAATGTTCACTACAGCATGAGAGTCTGATGAGTCATCACGACAAGAATAATAGATTAATTTTTTTATTATTACAATTATTTTATAAATATATATAGACTGCTAACTTTTGAGATTTACTCTGTTGGATATAGATTGATTGACATTACTGATATCTCCACAGTTGAAGACATTCCAGAACTCCTGAGTTCCTCCAGTCTCTTCTCAATGCTGCTTCCACTTATTTTGGCATACATTGGTCCTGTGGCTGCCTCTGTCCCTAAGGTAAGGGAGTTTTTCTTTTTGTAATTGGCAACTTTGGCTCTTGATGTGATGATGTCTCCTCCGCCAAGTCAAGTGTTGTTAGTTCCCCTTTTCTTTCAATATCTTTCTTGATGTCTAACTGTTTTAAATCTCTAATTGTTGTCTTCTATTAGGCTGCGGTGGAGGTGTTTGGTTTGGTGCAGGAACTTCTTCCAGCTGTTTCTGCCCTGAACCAGAAATATGCCCCTCCTGCTTTCAATCCTAACCAGTCCACAGACAGCACCACTGGGAACCAGCCGGAGCAGGGCCTGTCAGCTTGCACCACCTCTAATCATTATGCTGTCATAGAGAGTGATCACCCTTACAAGCAGGCTGCAGTCACCCAGTACAAGGTACATTAGTTCTCATTTCCTAATATTCAACAGAATAAGGTAAAATCTAGCAAATCTAGCTATTTATTATCTAGCATCCTGTTTACATCACCCTGCCAACTAACAAGAATAACTTGGCAATGCTCTAGCAACCACCCATAACACTTTAGAAACTGATTACAGGACTCGATATTAACATTGTCCGATTGTTTTTGACAACCATAAAAAAGTAGTTAGACATTTAAAACCACATAAGCTAACCGATCAGTCATTACATGTTAATGCAGCAACAGAAAATACCTTTTACATAAGACACAAAGGTGGCGTAAACTGCAATTCAAATAGTAGGGAACCTTTCAAATACTGTATGATGGTTTTTGTGCACATTTTGCTAATTATTTTAATTGCAGTGAATTTTGAAATTGTGTTTTTTTACCACTGTTTTGATTTAAAAAAAAGAAATCAAAATAATCACCTTAATCCACCACCCAGAATAACCAATCAACTCCTCAGCAACACCCAAAAAAATCCCCAGCAACACCCTAATCAACCGTCCAGAACACCCAATCAACTCCTCAGCAACACCCTAATCAACCACCCAGAACGCCCAATCAACTCCTTAGCAACACCTTAAACAACCACCCAGCAACACCCAATAAAATCCCCAGCAACACCCTAATCAACCGTCCAGAAGACCCTAATCAACCGTCCAGAACACCCAATCAACTCCTTAGCAACACCCTAAACAACCACCCAGCAACACCCTAATCAACCACCCAGAACACCCAATCAAATCCTCAGCAACACCCTAATCAACCACCCAGAACACCCTATCAACTCCTCAGCATAACCCTAAACAGCAACCCAGCAACACCCTAATCAACCACCCAGAACACTCAATAAAATCCCCAGCAACACCCTAATCAACCACCCAGAACACCCAACCAACTCCTCAGCAACACCCTAAACAACCACCCAGCAACACCCTAATCAACCACCCAGAACACCCAATAAAATCCCCAGCAACACCCTAATCAACCACCCAGAACATGCAGTCAGCTTGTTACAAATTGAGATGCTGTACTACCAGTCTACCTTCATGAGAGTGGTTTAATCACATTCCCCTTGTCTGGTTTCCAGGTTTCCTTTCCAGACTGCGTTCGCTGGATGACCGTTGAGTTTGATCCTCAGTGTGGCACAGCACAGCCAGAAGATGTCCTCCGTCTGCTGATCCCCAGCCGTTCGATGCACTTCTCTGGGCTTGGCTCCAAAGCTCTGGTTCACGAGACCATCAACAGCTGGACCGAGCTCAAGAAGTTCTCTGGCTCCAGTGGCTGGCCCACCGCTGTCTTGGTGCTGCCAGGTAACCGCGATCTCCCAGACAGCCAAATTCAGAGCTTTATAAATGTTTACTTGGGCATTCATTCTGATTAACATGCTGTTGACACGTCAGTATTTGTTAATGTTCCGTAATTAAAAAGAAGACATTTATAGAGATGTTTACTTAACATCACTTCCAGGCCCTTGAGCGGGAGTCTTTACACTGTCAGCAGATAAATCTTGTTTATTTTGTCCCACAGAGGGTTGATAAACACCAGATCCCCGTCAGAAAGATTGTGGGATTGTTTACAGAATGTTATCTCTATGAGGACTGTGATTATATGCGCAGATGCCACCTTATCAGTGATATTTTAGTATCATTGAGATACTATTATAGTTATGAATATTTTGAATCAGGTTTTATCTTTGTATTTTTTTTCTCTTTTGTAGTTTTGTTTTGTTTATATTACAGCTGTCACTAACAATTAATCGGTTGATTATTCGGGCGATTAATCAAGTAATCGGATAATTATTTTTTTGGTGATAATAAAAATAGACCTAAGTGAGCAATCGCCTTTAAAATGACTTAAAGTACATATAGATAATAGCAATGAGGCAATAATAATTAGTTTAAATAAAGTATCAAAAGCAAGTAATCTTATGGTTTTATTGAACAAAACTGTTAAAATACATAATGTATTATAAACAATAGAACATTACACATTATAATTACGCATTATAACAAATGACTGCAGAGGGCGCCAACGGCCTGACGATTGTTTATACACTTCACTGCGTGATCTAATGTTTAATATTGACTAAACATTTAATTCAAATGTCTGTAACACTTTCTATGAAGCCTGTATTTATAATACAAAGCAAGTAATCTTATGGTTTTATTGAACAAAACTGTTAAAATACATAATGTATTATAAACAATAGAACATTACACATTATAATTACGCATTATAACAAATGACTGCAGAGGGCGCCAACGGCCTGACGATTGTTTATACACTTCACTGCGTGATCTAATGTTTAATATTGACTAAACATTTAATTCAAATGTCTGTAACACTTTCTATGAAGCCTGTATTTATAATACATTATAAGGGTATTCTTAAGGCATTATAATGAATGAATAATCCATTATAAAAAACCTTATAATATGTTGTATCGTCTCATAAATAATCATAAGAACAGTTTAAATGTATTATAATACTTACTTATTTGTGGTTATATGATTTATAACACAATGAACATGTTGCATTCACTTAAGTTAAAATGAATTATATTTCCCATAGTTATCGTCTCATGTCTTGCCATTGTTTAAGATCTTCACAGTAACTTAGAACATCTTATTAGTGTTTTTACTGTAAAATGACAAATACAAAGTCTTCATGAAAACATCCAAAAGGCTTTATAATGTGATATTATTTATAAGTGGTCTTTGTCTGCTTTAAAGGCACAATATGTAAGTAAGATTTTTTTTTAAATTAAAATATCCAAAAACCACTAGAACAGCGTTATATATTATGCTGATTTGTGTACTTACATTATCCCAAATGTTTAGAAGAATGTTTAAATCCAGAGAAATAAGCAATTTTAACTAGTGACACGGACCGTTTCCATCGTGTCATTGTGTCGCCTGCCAATGACGTCATAACCCCTCGATTTTTTTGTTTTGTAGAAAACATGGAAACACCAAAGAGGCGGGGCATAGAGGAGAAACAATAATGTACAGTATGTGGAAAATAATGTGTTTTTTTAACTTTAAACCGCATAAACACATTTCATTACACCAAATACACAAAATAATGTTCTTTTTAGCAGCATCATATGACCCCTTTAAAGCAGACAAAGACCACTTATAAATAATAATACTAATACTACTAATAACAATAATAATATTTTTTTTACAGCCATAAGATCAGATATCAGATCAGATGAATGTGTACACATTTGCTTTGAACTGTTTGTAATATCAGTATGGTTATTTTGAGTGTACCCTTTAAGACAACTGTTGATAAGTAACTTTGCAACTACATGTCAACTAGCAGTCATTGGAGTGTATTAGTAGTATGTCTGCTAAATATCTGCTAACACCTTATTTTGATGATTCCCCAACAGATATTCAACTGACTATAAGCAACTTTGCAAGTATGTCAACTTATTCTACCAACCCCAAACTTAACCAAAGTCTACTAATACTCTAATGAGAGTTAGTTGGCATGTAGTTGCAAAGTTGCCTATAGACTAAGGGGACCATCAAAATAAAATGTAATATAAAAAATATATATATATATAAATAATAATGCAATAATTTGAAAGTATTTCAACTGATTTTAAACTAGCTCACAGCAAAATTAACATTAACCTCACAGGAAACACTCAAAAACACTCAACCACTCCTAACCTCTCACAAGATAGAGTAAGATACTGTGCAGATCTTAAATAAACACTGTCACGATATGAGATAATCCATTATAAATTAAGTGGATTTAATATGGTATTAATTGTGTGTTATAAATAATCATACTCTTAAACGTTATAACCACAAATGCGTAAGTATTACAATGTATTATAATTGTTGTTATGATTATTTATCAGACGATACAACATATTATAAGGTTTTTTATAATGCATTATGCATTCATTATAATGCCTTAAGAATACCCTTATAATGTGTTATATATACAGGCTTCATAGAAAGTGTTACCCAAATGTCCACTTAATCTTTAATATTTGGCCATTTCTTTACGACAGAAATGCTACAGCCACTGTAATTTCTTTAATGTGGACATCAAAACGTGTAACTCAGAGCGACGGTTTAAACTTTTTTGAATTTGCGATGAACAGTTAGCATATTGAGAAAGATAATGATGTGTTCGCCTGTGTTTGCGTAGGTTTATAAATTATTTACCTTACAAATCTGATGAAATGGCGCACGTTGCGTTCCCAGATGTAATAAAGCCAAACTCACAGCAATTTGCAAAGAGACGCTTCACACATGTAAATGATAACCGTTCGTGTGGAGCAGCATTTACTGTGAACGGAGCCACTCTGACACGCACGTACGTAACCTACACGCATGTAAATAATTAAAGCGCACATATTAAACCTGCATCGCATATGTTTATTTAATTGAATTGTAGCGTTTATGAATTCACAGTAGCATTGTGCTTTATTATGATTT